ACCTCATCGAATACGGGGTGCAAAAATGCTAGAAACCGACATTAAAAAGGTCTTATTTGAGCGCATATCAATCAATGTGGCAGAACAAACCTAAAACGTTTGGTGCATATAACGTCCAGAGTATATAGAGGGGATGGGGGTTAATACATTCGTTGCTGATTTCCCATTTGCTTTAAATGTGCTGAAAATCACATAAAATGTAGATTATTATATACCTCATCGAATACGGGGTGCAAAAATGCTAGAAACCGACATTAAAAAGGTCTTATTTGAGCGCATATCAATCAATGTGGCAAAACAAACCTAAACGTATAGCGCATAACATGTAGAGTATATCGGTGAGGGGGTTTCGGGCTTTAATACAGTCGCCGCTATTTCCCATTTGCCTTAATTTTGCTGAAAATCACATGAAATGTAGATTATTATATACCTCATCCAATACAGGGTGCAAAAATTCTAGCAGCTGACAATAAAAAGGTCTTATTTGAGCGCATATCAACCAATGTCCAGAACAAACTTAAACTTTTGGTGCATATAACGTCCAGAGTACATAGAAGGGGATGGGGGTTAATACATTCGTTGCTGATTTCCCATTTGCTTTAAATGTGCTGAAACTCACATGAAATGTAGATTATTATATACCTCATCGAATACAGGGTGCAAATATGCTAGTAACCGACATTAAAAAGGTCTTATTTAAGCGCATATCAATCAATGTGGCAGAACAAACCTAAACGTATAGCGCATAACATGTAGAGTATATCGGTGAGGGGGTTTTGGGCTTTAATACAGTCGCCGCTATTTCCCATTTGCCTTAATTTTGCTGAAAATCACATGAAATGTCGATTATTATATACCTCATCCAATACGGGGTGCAAAAATTCTAGCAGCTGACAATAAAAAGGTCTTATTTGAGCGCATATCAACCAATGTGGCAGAACAAACCTAAACGTATAGCGCATAACGTGTAGAGTATATCGGTAAGGGGGTTTCGGGCTTTAATACAGTCGCCGCTATTTCCCATTTTCCTTAATTTTGCTGAAAATCACATGAAATGTAGATTATTATATACATCACCCAATACGGGGTGCAAAACTTCTAGCAGCTGACAATAAATAGGTCTTATTTGAGCGCATATTAACCAATGTCTAGAACAAACCTAAACTTTTGGTGCATATAACGTCTAGAGTACATAAAAGGGGAAGGGGGTTAATACATTCGTTGCTGATTTCCCATTTGCTTTAAAAGTGCTGAAACTCACATGAAATGTAGAGTATTATATACCTCATCGAAAACGGGGTGCACAAATTCGAGCAGCCGACATTACAAAGGTCTTATTTGAGCGCATTTCAACCAATGTCCAGAACAAACCTAAACGTTTGGTGCATATAACGTCTAGAGTATGTAGAAGGGGTGGGGGTTAATACAATCGTTGCTGATTTCCCATTCGCTTTAAATGTGCTGAAACTCACATGAAATGTAGATTATTATAAACCTCATCGAAAACGGGGTGCACAAATTCGAGCAGCCGACATTAAAAAGGTTTTATTTGAGCGCATTTCAACCAATGTCCAGAACAAACCTAAATGTTTGGTGCATATAATGTCTAGAGTATGTAGAAGGGGGTGGGGGTTAATACAATCGTTGCTGATTTCCCATTTGCTTTAAATGTGCTGAAACTCACATGAATTGTAGATTATTATATACCTAATCGAATACGGAGTGTAAAAATTCTAGCAGCCAACATTAAAAAGGTTTTATTTGAGCGCATATCAACCAATGTCCAGAACAAACCTAAACGTTTGGTGCATATAACGTCTAGAGTATATAGAAGGGGGTGGGGGTTAATACAATCGTTGCTGATTTCCCATTTGCTTAAAATGTGCTTAAACTCACATGAAGTGTAGATTATTATATACCTCATCGAATACGGGGTGCAAAAATTCTAGCAGCCGACAGTAAAAAGGTCTTATTTGAGCGCATATCAACCAATGTCCAGAAATCCTTAAACGTTGGTGCATATAACGTCCAGAGTATTTAGAAGGGGGTGGGGAGTATTACATTTGTTGCTAATTTCCCATTTGCTTTAAATCTGCTGAAAATCACATGAAATGTTGATTATTATATACCTCATCGAATACGAGGTGTAAAATTTCTAGCAACCGACATTAAAAGGTCTTTTTTGAGCGCGTATCAACCAATGTGGCAGAACAAACCTGAACGTATTGCGCATAACATGTAGAGTATATCGGTAAGGGGGTTTCGGGCTTTAATACAGTCGCCGCTATTTCCCATTTGCCTTTATTTTGCTGAAAATCACATGAAATGTAGATTATTATATACCTCACCTAATACGGGGTGCAAAACTTCTAGCAGCTGACAATAAAAAGGTCTTATTTGAGCGCATATTAACCAATGTCTAGAACAAACCTAAACGTTTGGCGCATATATCGTCCAGAGTATATAAAAGGGGGTGAAGGTTAATACATTCATTGCTGATTTCTCATTTGTTTTAAATGTGCTTAAACTCACATAAAATGTAGATTATTATATATCACACCCAATACGGGGTGCAAAAATTCTAGCAGCTGACAATAAAAAGGTCTTATTTGAGCGCATATCAACCAATGTCCAGAACAAACCTAAACGTTAGGCGCATATAACGTCAAGAGTATATAAAAGGGGATGGGGGTAAATACATTCGTTGCTGATTTCCCATTTGCATTAAATGTGCTGAAACTCACATGAAATGTCGATTATTATATACCTCATCGAATACGAGGTGTAAAATTTCTAGCAACCGACATTAAAAAGGTCTTTTTTGAGCGCATATCAACCAATGTGGCAGAACAAACCTAAACGTATAGCGCATAACATGTATATAGAGTATATCGGTGAAGGGGTTTCGGGCTTTAATACAGTCGCCGCTATTTCCCATTTGCTTTAATTTTGCTGAAATCACATGAAATGTAGATTATTATATACCTCACCCAATACGGGGTGCACAAATTCTAGCAGTTGACAATAAAAAGGTCTTATTTGAGCGCATATCAACCAATGTCCAGAACAAACCTAAATGTTTGGCGCATATAACGTCCAGAGTATATAGAAGGGGGTGGGGGTTAATACATTCGTTGCTGATTTTCCATTTGCTTTAAATGTGCTTAAACTCACATAAAATGTAGATTATTATATACCTCACCCAATACGGGGTGCAAAATTACTAGCAGCCGACATTTAAAAGGGTTTATTTGAGCGCATATCAACCAATGTCCATAACAAACTTAAACTTTTTGTGCATATAACGTCCAGAGTTTTTAGAAGGGGGTGGGGGTTAATACATTTGTTGCTAATTTCCCATTTGCTTTAAATGTGCTGAAAATCACATGAAATGTAGATTATTATAAACCTCATCGAAAACGGGGTGCACAAATTCGAGCAGCCGACATTAAAAAGGTTTTATTTGAGCGCATTTCAACCAATGTCCAGAACAAACCTAAACGTTTGGTGCATATAATGTCTAGAGTATGTAGAAGGGGGTGGGGGTTAATACAATCGTTGCTGATTTCCCATTTGCTTTAAATGTGCTGAAACTCACATGAATTGTAGATTATTATATACCTAATCGAATACGGAGTGTAAAAATTCTAGCAGCCAACATTAAAAAGGTTTTATTTGAGCGCATATCAACCAATGTCCAGAACAACCTAAACGTTTGGTGCATATAACGTCTAGAGTATATAGAAGGGGGTGGGGGTTAATACAATCGTTGCTGATTTCCCATTTGCTTAAAATGTGCTTAAACTCACATGAAGTGTAGATTATTATATACCTCATCGAATACGGGGTGCAAAAATTCTAGCAGCCGACAGTAAAAAGGTCTTATTTGAGCGCATATCAACCAATGTCCAGAAATCCTTAAACTTTGGTGCATATAACGTCCAGAGTATTTAGAAGGGGGTGGGGAGTATTACATTTGTTGCTAATTTCCCATTTGCTTTAAATCTGCTGAAAATCACATGAAATGTTGATTATTATATACCTCATCGAATACGAGGTGTAAAATTTCTAGCAACCGACATTAAAAAGGTCTTTTTTGAGCGCGTATCAACCAATGTGGCAGAACAAACCAGAACGTATTGCGCATAACATGTAGAGTATATCGGTAAGGGGGTTTCGGGCTTTAATACAGTCGCCGCTATTTCCCATTTGCCTTTATTTTGCTGAAAATCACATGAAATGTAGATTATTATATACCTCACCTAATACGGGGTGCAAAACTTCTAGCAGCTGACAATAAAAAGGTCTTATTTGAGCGCATATTAACCAATGTCTAGAACAAACCTAAACGTTTGGCGCATATATCGTCCAGAGTATATAAAAGGGGGTGAAGGTTAATACATTCATTGCTGATTTCTCATTTGTTTTAAATGTGCTTAAACTCACATAAAATGTAGATTATTATATATCACACCCAATACGGGGTGCAAAAATTCTAGCAGCTGACAATAAAAACACCCGATACGAGCTGCGACATTAAAGTCATTGACCAGTTTTGGAAAAATGATGCAATATGTATTGACCCGTTTTTGTATCACATCCAACATGTGTTTGATTTGCGTCCAGTAGTCATTAACGCTATTTTAAGACCTACTTTTTGTGGTTAGACTCATTAACCAGGCGACAGCGCCCAGCAACATTTTTTTCTACAAACGACTGTAGCGCCAGGTTACCCGGCCATACATCCAGGGGCAGATCAAAGACTTTACAGGGGAGGGGGGGGGGGGGGGAGGAAGCTTGAAATAAACGAAATTGCGAAAATGAAGCCTTCAACTGGATGCGGTCCCCGGATAATCTTAGCCTTTTGGCAGATTCTGAGGCCTATCCAAATGCTTAAACAGAATATGTATGCGAACACATTTTTTTCGGGAGAAAAAAAAGGGGGGGGGGGGCGTGCGCCTCCCAGTACCAGGCATCCACTGGATCTGGGCAGCGTTTCATGAGACCGTCATAACTACAAGTTCACCGACATCCCATTGAAACGTGTGTTAAACTTAATACACACATTTCAATGGGATGTCGTTGGACTTGTACTTATGACGGTTTCATGAAACGCTGCCCAGATCCCCGACACCGAACACCTGGGGAGGTTTCACGAAACCGTCATTAAGTCTAACTTTTTAGACATCGTATTGAAACGTGTGATAGAGATCTAACACGTGTTTCTACCAAATCTCCACGAGCTTAGACTTATGGCAGTTTCGAGAAACTAGCACTCGCTCTGAATCTGGCGCATCCACGGCCACGCTGGAAGCTCGGATCTGACCGCCTGCGATGCATGCCCCGGACGCGACGGCAGCCCGCTCTCGAGCTAACTCTCCATCGCATCGTGCAGCTGTCTTTCTTCTCTTTCACGAACACGGTTGCCCGACTGAAACAACTAGACCACATTAGTATCCTGACATCAAGATAGGTCTCTATTATGTGCCCATCCGTCTGATTAAGGTAGGTTCTACAGTAACACCGTATTTTATTCTTTTTTTAAATAAATCTAACTTGCACATTCAAATGGAAATAATAGCCCTACCAGGTGCGCCGGGCCCGCCGCTCCCGCCCGGCAGGATACCTAGACTGGTGGACATCACGAGCCATGTCCCTGGTTTTGCCCACACATAGCTGCATTACTATCCTGGCTGTGCAGCTGTGTATTAAAAACTGTTCATATTGATTTTCAGCATTTCAAACTACACTGTACAAAACTCAACTGATTTCACTCAAAATCGGTACTTTAGTGATAGTTGATGCCCGCCCCCCCCCCCCACTCAGTGTTATTTAGGGTATGCATATGCGTGTCCCCCCCCCCCCCCTTTGCAGCAAAAGTCCGGTGTGTAAAGTCCCTGCCCCCCCCCCCCCCCCCCACTCAGTGTTATTTAGGGTACGCATATGCTCGTTCCCTCTTTTTGAAAGCACCCCCTATCTGAGGACTGCCAACATTTTCGAACCCCCCTTTCGCGGGCTTTTCACAGGCTTTTCCTGCCTTGGAGACCCCCCTAAATCAGGAAAAATGCTCAATGCACCCCCCTAAATTCAGAATAATTTCTCAGGAGTCAAAAGAGATGAGAGAAAAAAAAAAAAAAACACCCCCTTTTTAAAGAAATCTCCGGGTGAAAAGTCAAATACACCCCTTTTTTTACAATTCTCGGGCCGGACTTTGTCGCACGAAAAGTACCCCTTTACCGGACATTTTGGTAACACGCATGCGGTCATTCCGACCCCTGCGTGGGGGGGGGGCCGGGGTAAAGTCAATACGGGTCGACCTTTTTCTTTTGTTATACAAGCCTTTTTCAGCAAAAGTCCGGTGTGTAAAGTCAATACGGGTCGACCTTTTTCTTTTGTTACGAAAAGGACATTTTGGTAACACGCATGGGGTCCATCCGTTCTCGGAGTGGGGGGGGGGGGCCCGGGAGTTGATGACACCTAAATAGCATACAATTTTTTCAACTTAGGTCTATGTTATAGTTATACTTAGAGATCTAGAATCTAGTCTATAGATAGTCATATAGATCTAGACTAGAAAGAAAAATTCAAAAATTCAAATCGTGAATCTACTGTCAAACTTGCTAATCAACCACTTTGTATACATTGTGTGCATTAGTGTGCAATTGTGTGCAATGTGTTCATCGTGTGCTATTGCTGCCTCTCAGCACGTACATGTAACAGCGCTAGAGGACAATACGCCTAAGCATTGACTCTAGCCTTGCTGGAGTGGTTTTGCCCTGCAGGCCTGGGTGGAATACGATATAAAATATCAACAACTGTGACTCTAATGATTGCATTCTTGGCGTGGACTTTACGTAAGGTAGCATATGACGTTCAAATCAGATTTCTTAATAATCTTGCCATATGACCCATGTGCATCAACTTTTCACACGTATAGGCTACTGTCGGTGTCATCATGCATCCTCAGCTCATGGTAGCCGCTAGACGCAGGTTGTAGATCTAATAACATTGATATCACTTGGCCTATACCCATCATTTAATAATATTCAATCTGAGCTGTATGGCCCTACGTGTTATCAGTGCCTGTGATATGGTGTAATATTGAAGCCCTAAACAAAATTGCGCTTCAAAATGATCATGATAGAAATGCCTCAAAGAAGTAAAAATCTGTTAGTTTGAGTTACCATTTTTACCATACTCATTTTCCCCAAAAGACTGTAGTGTACATGAATGTAATAAAAAACTGTTAGGTAAACAAAAAATGAAATTTTGATTTCCAATCATAAATATCTTGATAATCAGACAGCTAGGCAATCGGCTTGTAAAGTCATGGGATTCCTGACTGACCTAAATGTTTGTAATCATGATTGCAGCATGAGCTAAATCCAGGAGTTTCTTTCTTCAGAATCTGAGGCAATGTTACCGAGCCACTTAATTGATACCCGTACCCCTATCAAGACTGATAATTGATATAAAACAAAAATTCAAATTTGTTCATAATAACCACTAGAAGTACCCACACTAAAATAACCTTACCCACTGGTGGTAGCTGTTAATACTAGTATGATTAGTATTACTATACTGTAGGACTAGTAATATAAACTCTTCTTTCTTCTCATACAAATCACTTTAAAATAATACAAACATTTAACAAAAAATGTAAATATTTGATACTGGAGGGATAGCAATTTGGTGTGTCACTCTCGATATGGGTGCCAATTAAGGCTTAGTGACATCCATATCATATTTCATGTTATCACCTAGCCCTAAGGCTATTCTAACCAGTCTAGCGAACAAGCTGTTGGTTGTCCCTGTTCTGTAATTGATCATCTTGGTTGCACTCACATTTATGGAAGTTTATGCAAATTTATGCAAGTTTATCCAAATTAATTGTTGACACTATTGGGACCTTTATGTGACTGTAGTGGAATTCACTGCTGCAGGGACGGATCCAGTCTGCAGAAAGGGAGGGGGCCGGCTGAAAGGGGGCCCAATTCGTGAAAAAATGTTGAGCACCGAGTTAACACCCACCACCCCGGCCCCCCTTTGCTCCCCCCTTTCTCCAGGGGGGCGTCTTTTTTAAATCTAAAAAAAGGTTAAATTTACCTGTTTATGGGGCCAAGTGAGGGGGTGCCGCGGCCCCCCCCCCCCCCAATCTGGATCTGCCACTGCACTGCTGCAATAGTGAAAAACAGACACCATAATCTCTCTTCTCACAGAAGATTTAATATACCTAATGTTAAAGGGAAATCCACCTTATTCTCTAGTATTAGCAAACTACCAGTGGAAGGCTGAACAAATATAAGAAGCACAATGGGGACAATTTGATTTAAATTTAAATCAGACTAAAAGTGACAAAGCTACATGTACACATTTTTGAAGTTGTAAATTTGTAATCATTAAAACATGTAGGTATGGGCTCTTCAAATTGGCTGAATCAGTAACGTCTATAGGATGTAGTGGCGGACAACTTTTCCATTTGTTCCAACACACAGAATGACTAAAATGTAAATGAAAAAGAAAAAAAACATGTACATGTATGACTCAGAAGGTTCTTTATATCTTAAGAGGACCTGTAAATAAACTGATAATTTCCACAAGGAAGAAGGCACTTAAGATTATGTTTTGTATACAACAAACAGGAGAGTTATCCATACATGTCTACATCATGTATTTCAAACTTTTGCCATTCTCTTTTTCTTACAGTGTATTTTTTTAAAACCCAATTCAGGGACTCTTCAACTTACACATGTAATGTAATTTATGCTACATGTATGTTTCAGAGGTGAAGTAGACAACAAACAGAAGAGTTATCAATGTCTACATGAATGTACCAAATTGCCAATTTGAGATTCACATTTATTTAGTGATCTCATACTTCAAACATTCATAACTCTTAGTATTGGTCTGATTTATTTCAAACTTTTGCCATTCTGTTTCTCTTACATTGTATTTAAAAAAAAAACTCAATTCAGGGACTCTTCAACCCATACATGTATTGTAATTTATGCTACACGTACATATTTTGTGTTTCAGAGTTGAAGGGAAATTTTGAATAATTTTTTCCTCATGTACATTTATATATCTATGAATGGTCAATCCCTGCTATTAATACTAGAACACAAGACATATTGAAGCCTCTTCAACAGGTACATTTTGTAAAGCTATGGTGGAGTACAACTGCTGTGAGTATTCTCAAACTTGTGTGTGAGTTTTGACAAGGGAAATAAATCACCAGCCCCCCCCCCCCAAAAAAAAAAGCCTCAAAATTTCACTTGATCAAGGTGACAGAGATCCAAGTTATGGAATTGTATGGAAATAAGATTCTAAATCGTGAAAAGGATTTATATTTTTTAATTTGTGAGATTTTTCTGGTGTTTTTAAGTACGCTTCAACAAAGAGGTAGGCCACCACCAAAATTGACACATCCCCAATTATTAATGATTTCCTGTTCTTTGGATGCTTCTTCTTTATAAAAAAAATGGAAGGTATTAGTGGGCAACTTCTCTGTGCATTAGTGAGTTTATGTCATTTTTGTTTTCTTACATTTTTATGTAAAACATGACCACCATTCGCAGTCATGAGGTGATATGAATGAGAAAATAAAGATAAACATAGTTGATTGTAAACATGGAGGATGATAACATTTAAGATAAAGAATACATGCGAAAAAGGTGTGAAAGAGAAAATGAGTGAAGGAAGAAGAACAAAGATAACTGTTTAGATACAAATGAGAAAAATAAAGGCACACACAGGGAAAGAGAGAAGAACCAATGAAAGAAGACAAAAACTGAGTGAAAAGTCATATCCTATGTAGACAGAAATAGGGGAAAGTGAAAGAAGAATATAAAAAACAGTATATGAATAGAAGATATTAAAGTAAAAGATAAAAGAAGGATAAAATAAGAGAACATGAAGCGAGGACAGAAAAAAGAAGAAAAAAGATGTAGACAATAAAAAAGGAATAACATAGAAAATGAGAGAAAGAGGAAAACAGAAGGAAAAAAAGACTAACATAGGGTTATCTCAATAAAAGGAGAAATTTAAACAAATAATAAAACAGAAGAATAGAAAACTGTAAAGTGCTGCATGATATTGAATGTAAATATATGTCACAAGCTTTCTATCTGGGCAGATTTCTCCTGGGTACATTTTGAAATTCTAATCACCTACTCGTCATCACAATGAAATGACCTAATGAATAAAATGATGTGATTTTTTATTTTTCTCATCAATGACGATTCATTAATTTTCAGATTTCCTGTTCTTCATCCCAAGTGTTAATATTTGTATAACCGATTTATGTTCTATAGTATTTTGCTCCAAAGTTACTATCCCGTTTCATTCTATAAAATGCACGATAAGCAGACTCTAGATTTGTGCAGCTACTTTTACATACATGTACATGTCCACTTTATTACCCCGTATCTGTAGCTAGATATTTGGGATGCCAATTTGAAACAAAGTCTGTCAAAAGTACCCTCCTTAATACCCTATTTCCAATGACACCCATGTACCTTTATTCCTGTTAGGTGCTTAACATTGCACAAACTTAAAACAAAACAGTACCTGGAACTTGCAGCTGCAAAGAGAGAAAGAGAAAGAGAGAGAGATAGAGAGAGAGATATTTAAAGAGAGAGAAAAGGAGATCATACATGTATGAGAATAATAAACTGGAAAGAGTGACTATTATTGATTGCAAAAGTGACTGCAATTATTTGTCAGTAAATAAATGAAATGTAAATTACTTTGGTATGTAGAAGGAAAATTGTAAGGTTCAGAATTCAGAATTATTTTCTAATCTGCCCTTCTCTATCACCTCTGCATTAACATCATCACCCCTTTTTAAATATCCATCTGATATCCCTCTAATAGAAAACTGAACAGCTTTTGAGCCATAATGCATGGCCATTCAGAGGATTTGTTTATGTTGGGGACCGGGGTAAAATGCAATAAATTTCATTTTCTGTTTTTTATTTTGTTTATGGAAACTGCCCCCTATCCTAGCCCCCGCTTCGTACAGTCATGGTTCAGTGACAAAGCAATGGCCTCGTAACTGTGAGGCCCCAGGATCAAAACCGTGTCGATGTGCTATATTAGTGCCCTTTTGTGGGGCATTAATCCTCGTTACTGTCATTTATGACTTAAGGGCGTAGGTCCCCTATTTGATAAGCATAGTAGCATACACATGCTTTAGCAGTCACGCAAAACACACATTGTCAAATTATTATTCAATAAAATCGGAGAATGGATACTCTTATCTAGATCTATTATTTTTAAATTATTTTAAAAATAATTCCATAAAGTGGGGTAAAACAAAAATATTCCAACTATATGAGCGACAGTGTATAATGTGAAGCATCCATGTTGCACTTTCTCCCTCATCGTATTATTATGCCATTTTAAAAACTATTTATTACAAATCTTTAATATAGTAAGATCCTACATGTACATTACATGTACATGTGCACATATTTTCAGAAGAGTCATATTATTGAGTGGAAAATACAGCTTTTCTATTCAATTTCCATTATGTTCTATAGATTAGGTAAAGCTAAATTAATTAATATAATTTGAGTTAAAATACATGTTTCTCTGAGGATCCAAAACCATTGAATACTATTGATTACCTAAGATTTAACTAACCATGGTCAGTTATCTTTCATTACCATAATATTTTGCAATTTGTCTGAATTTGTATAGAAATAAATGAAACTAAAGTATAATTTGCATATTAAAAAGATAATGTTTTTCTCCAACAATAATCAGCTGATTATCCTTTATTTTTGCTTGTTTGTAGTTGTTTTTTATTGATATATTTTATTTATTTCCTGTACAAAGATATTAATTGCATAATGTTTTCTCCTTTAAATGATTTTTTTTTCTATTTTGATCCAATTTCCAAAAGATTACCCCTTATCCCTACAGTATATGCAATCTCCTACATGTATATACTGCATGTAGCATTAAAAGTTGGCCAGTCTTCCTTTTAAAAGTTATTGGATTTTTGTTTGTGTGTGTCTATGTCAAAGTTATTCTTATGCACATCTATTTTTCATTTATTCTTCAACTCTGGTATGATTTCCATTCAGTTTGGTATATATTGTATACAGTGTACATATTACGTAGAGCCGTTCCTTGGTTTTAGCGGTCTATGGTTTTAGTCTTTAAAAGAGGGTTGGGTGTGGAAATTTGTTCCCCCCCCCCCCCCCCTCTGTGCAAAATTAATGACTGCTGTGGATTGCAACCTGTAAGTTTTACAGTGCACATCAACTTTATAATTAAGTTACCAAAGTTGGAACTGGTACATTTTTTTTATAATACGCACTGAATAGTAACTTTGAGACTAAATTTGCATAAAATCTGACTGTCCATACATTTTAGCAGTAATTTATTGTTTCCATTGTTGCAATGCCAAATGAAATAATAATTATAGCTTGCAGTAAAATCTTAGGATTTTTGTTTTTCTACAGGGTGTCTACTGTCTAAAAAGAATATGCAACAATATTTTTATTGGATACATTTTAAAGTTTTAAACGGTACTCATCCATTCATTTTGTTGGCAGTGCTGTGTTAGTATTATCTAAATACCATTTGTGTACAAGGAACAATACTACCCCACAAACTTAAGTTAGGATTGTTTTTGCTAGACGTATCACATTTCAAATGTTAAAGATAGCATGTTGCATGCATCAGTGCACAAGAATACTGTGGCTTCTACATTTTAAAACAAACTTTCAATTTAAGTCACTCTTATTTCTTGGAAACAATACCATCATTGATTTGAAAGAAAATAATATACTTATTCATGCAGCTCTTCAAATATTTATTTCAAGTTAAGCAACAACTACCAAACATTGATTTTATATCATCCATTTCAGCAGATCTGCATGAACATGTATTAACAATACCTACATGTAGTTTTTGTATTGTATATTATTATGCAGATTCATATGAGTAGAAATGTATATGTCTTGGCAGCTCCTGATTCAATTATATCCTCTCTCTCTCTCTCTCTCTCTCTTTCTACCTTTTTATCCCTCTTTTCCCCTCTTTTTTTCCCCTTTTTTTTACTTTCAATCACTCTAGCTACCTCTCTCTTCCCCTTTTTGATCGCAGGAAGTTGCAATATTGTTATTATGTCACTGTAATAGTTCTGTATAAATGCAACTTTACATGTGTATACTTATACTTAATTGTAACTATTGCTCTTACCCAAACTACAGTCTTCTTTGGAGCAAACTGTCAGACATTTGCGGTAGTATACAGCTGAAATGGAATTTCCGTTCAACCAAACAGTATACTTCAAGGCTATTTCTCAGCGACGAGGGTTAGCTCCAGGTAGCAGTAGCAGGTACATGTAACAATATCTTAAAAACATTTACTTACCTGTAAGTCCTTTTCATGTGAAGATGATTCAAAGTACAACTATATTTATTTATTGTATAAAATGACCTGCTTTCATAAAGTCCTCTTGTGAAATCTTATGAATTTGAGTCCAATCCCCCCCCCCCCCCCCCCTTCCTGTTTTTCTGGCTTCTATGTATTCTTTGAGCCAGCCCTTTGACGTATGCTTAGATCTTTTAAGTTGCAAATTTAGAAATTGCTTTCTTCAGTCAGCAACATAATGCATGATTCACATAGATTAGGGATATGTACCGGTAACCCATAAGATATAAGAACAAATTGCGATAATGAAATGAAGTGTGGAAGAGAGGATCTGAGCTAGAAGACTATAAGGAGAATGCAGCCAAGGCTAAGCAGCAGGAACCAGTTTGGGCTTCACTCAAGACACAATATAGTTTTTGCAATGAGCTGTTAAATACTGGGTCTTTCCTTGCAGAGTAATAAGGGAGCAAGAGAAAGACCATCACCATGTATACACGTAGCAGAAACACAAAGCAAATAAATTTGAGACATTTTATGATTAATTATGTAGGAAGCCAAATCTAATTTCAAACGTCACTTGTCATCTTTTATGTGATAGATCTACAATTATCATAACAGTAATGTTTGTAGCCTTAAAAAGAAATTGCAAGAGGAATGTCAATAAATAAAGTCTACACCATTCACAAGATGCTAATTTGCATTTAACACCATTCCAACAACTTTCAAATCAACTCCGGCAATTATGTTCTGATTCTATAATACATCTTTGTAAATACATCTTTGTAATGTTTGCAAGTTTCAGAAGATGAACCCTGCAAGGCCATCAAAATTACGACAAGAGTTCCATATGTACACGTAACCACCACTAAAATTGAAGGAAAAAATATGGGTATGCTGGGTTAGGATTAGGATGAGAGTGAGGGTAGGCTATACAGCTGTGCATCGATTTTAGTGGGGTTATATATATGGAACTCTTTCCGAAATTGCCTGTAGTTGATTTTTTTTCCTTTCTCTTTAGGTAGTTGCAGACATGTTGTTTTGGTCATTGAGTTTTTTGTCTGTAGTTTTTCTGCTTTTCTCAAAACCATCATTATATCAAGGTAGACTTCCCCTTTGATAACCAAGTTTCATCAGTGTGTGTAGTGAACATTCCCTCTTTTTCCAATACACTTTCGCAATATAATTAAATAGTTATAGATTAATTGTAATGCATCTTTGCAAGTTCATATTTTCATGTTTTCATGATTTGATTTATAACTGTTTTAATGCTAACCCTGATGAAACAGTACTGTAATTATTATGTACCTACATGTAATATACACTCACCCATAAACTTTATCATATTCAGGAGGATATCCTGCAAATCTATGATCATGGTTCTATTAAACTATACAATTTTCAATTAAACCTCCTTTACAGAAAGGGGAAATCAACAAGTGGCACCATTCATGTTTTTTTTTTATAACTTATATGTGTAGATAGAAAAAATGCCTCACAAGGCTTTTCAAGATGATGTGGTCATTACCTCTTAATAGATTATATGTCAAAGTGGTTACAGTATGAGAGAACCTTTTCCACGTATGTAGGAGGATAGCCTTTAGATATATATTTAAAATTGAATTTCCAATCATTCTCTCTATAGATAAATGTACAGTATATAAAGAATGATATCTAGGGACTTGATAATGACATGTTCGATAATAATCAGTTTGTGTTCTTAATTAGATGCATTCATTCATTCCTAAAAGAAAGGCTTTGGAGCATACATGAATTTAAAAAAGAAGTCTATCCCACTTTATTTGTTACATGGAGGTTAAAGAATTGATATGATTTTAAATTTTTTATTAGAGACCTTTTGTAAAACCCTGATAGAATCAATTTTGATTTGTTTACGCGATTGTTGTATTTTTACCATTCACGCTATCATTTTCTTCTTTTTCTATGCAGGCTGGAAGTAACACACATGTGCAGTGTTTCAGTCGAAAACGAATACCACCCATTCAAAATCGGTTATAGGATCTTGTCCATATGTCCATATTTTTGTATGCATGTGAAACATGGACCATGACAGCAGACATTAAAAGAAGGATACAGGCACTGGAGATGAAATGTTTCCGCAAACTCCTCAGTATCTGGTATAGAGATCACATAACCAACGAGGTAGTGAAAATCAGAATTGGAAACACCATAGGGCCGTATGAAGACCTCCTGACTTCAGTGAAAAGATGCAAAGTAAAGTGGTATGGGTATGTCACATGATCATTTGGACTGGCCAAGACTATTCTACATGGAACAGTACAAGGAGGGAGACGAAAAGGCAGGCAGAGGAAACGATGGGAAGACAACATTAACGAGTGACCTTGACTGAAACATCATACTTCGTAAAGCCAAGAACCACGAGGAGTGGAGGAAGCTGGTAGTATAAATCTTCAGTGGTGCCCCAAGGGTCAGCCAGACTGTGGGATAGGTGAAGGTGAAGGTGAAGGAAGCTAAGAATCAGATAGTTAGACATTATATTGGATCATTTATCCTTTCCTTCAAAAGGAATGTTGCTTTATACTGTAGCACATAAACAATGCTTTTTAATTGGCAATATTTCAGTTCAGTACGCTTGTTATTAATTTCATCAAACATTAAAATGTAAAAGGGAGAAACACTGTCATTTGAAAATCAAAATGTAAGTCATAAAATTTCACTGTCTAACTATCTGAATCTTGTCAGGATCCATGTACGAGTTAGTGCAATTCTTTTCTCTTCACTACAACCGCATTGATTTACTTTAATAGCATGTTACTAGGTACATCAATTGATGAGAAAAAGCAGCAAAACGCTTTAAATTTGTTGTAGTCTTAAAATTAAAGTTGGAAGTTTCCTAAAAAGGGAATTTTAGAACACTCCTTCAACTGACATGCACGGATGTTATACTTATGAATTTCCATACATTAATGTCTTTGTAATGCATGTTACCAAACAAAAAAAAGTATCATCAACCATTCTTGTCATTTCCTGTGCAATTATTTTCACATCCTGGCTTAACAGTACATAAACAGTGCTCTTTTATTTTCAATATTTCAGAAAAATGCATTTGCATTATGATACATGCAGGTATAGTTGGTCAAGTAAGAATATATTTACAGCATGCTCACTATGAATTGATTAAATCGCCATTGAATCTAAAAGGTATGTTATACCTCATTGTATATTCAGAAGGAAAAAGTGTGAGGATAGCTTTAAAAAAAAAAAAAAAAATCATGAGTATCCATAATGATGTGAATATGTACATGTTTGTTTGTTGCATATGATTCTTCCTTGGTATCAAAGCTGTAATAATTGCATATTTATGATTCAGCATAATACTTTGTTCATTACAAAAAAAAATATGTCATAATTTTCCAAAACGGTAGTGTAAAGAATAATGTAAGATTGAGGTAAGATTGTTACATATATTCTCTATACGTATCAACTAAAATGTAAGTTTTCAAATGAGATACTATTTTGTCCCCAGATGAAATAAGTAATGGATCTTTTTTGTTAAATGTCAGCAAATGATCTAAATGAACATGTGTTCGGGTATATCAAATCTTGTACATGTAGTTTCTATAGCTAATATAGTTTGGAGGACTTAAAGATAGAAAAACTGCTGATTGATTAATTACCATTGTTTGTATTGTTCACTATAACCAGCAAGTAAAGGGACATTTAGTAGATGCCAAGAAAGTATTTCCAAAGCAATTACATTTCTCTTATCCTGTAATGTATTTTTTGCGTCAATAAAAGCAAATGTGAGGGTTGTCCACATAACATCACAACTACAGAACAGTTTAATTGAAATTAACATACATATTACATGTATATATGTGTATTATGGAATAACTTAGAATATTTCATAATTTGTTATTATTATCCAGTTCATTACATTTTTACCAATGTATTTCTTCAATATTTCTACTTTTCCTCAGAGCATATGCTGTGAACTAATGGATATTCCTTGTCAGTTCCATCATGTTATGTCAATGGGCTTACACTGTATGCGTGTACATGTCCTTTTTGCAATGTACATGTGCTACGAAAATGTCAACAATATTGTTTGAGATATAAAATATAGAGTTAACAAGTGAATTATTCATACTCCTTGTAAATGTGATTTTTGGGGATGCATTTTTTTGTAACTTAAGAATGAAAGGTTGACTGGGTGAATTAGGGCCCTTTTAGAAATAAATGTACATGTAGTTGTAACGTTTTCAAATGGATGAAAGTTTTACGGTGTAATTGTTGAAATCAAGAATTTTAAATTCTGTTTTCATGTTCTCACAATAGTTGTGTTAAAATTACAATAAGAAAGTTAAAACTTGTAAAAATATGCCACCTTGAAAATGGACTAGACTGAATAATTTTGAATTTGTAATATCTATGACAATTATCAACTGCTTCAAATTATGAACCACAGCATTAAGGGTGGTTTGCAGTGGAACTTACATGATTTGCATATTTAATATCAAAATTTAAACTGTAAGCTAACTTTGGCAGACAACACCGAATTCATTGAAAACTTTACTGTGAATAGATGAAGATGATGATGATAATAGTGACGATGTTGGTGGTGATGATGATGATGGGGATAATGATGGTAGTAGTGGGGATAATGATGGTAGTAGTGGGGATAATGATGGTAGTAGTGACGACGACGATGATGATGGTGGTGATGATGGTATAGTAATGATGATGGTGGTGGTAATGGTGGTAGTAGTGATGATGATGATAATGATGGTAGTAATGATGGTGGTGATGATGGTGATAATGAAAGTTGTAATGCTGGTGGTGATGATTGTAGTAGTGATGATGATGGTGATGATGATGGTAGTAGTGGTGATGATGATGGTAGTAGTGGTGATGATGATGGTAGTAGTGACGACGATGATGATGGTAGTGATGATAGTATAGTAGTGATGATGGTGGTAGTAGTGATGATAATGATGGTAGTAATGATGGTGGTGATAATGATGATAGTGATCGTAGTAGTGGTGATGATGATGGTAGTAGTGATGATGTGGTGGTGGTGAAAAATGATGGTAGTAGTGATGATGATGGCACCAAGGGTGATGGTGATGATACATGTATAATAATGATATTTATACAATAATATTAAAGCATGTACTAATAATATCCCACTCCTTAAAGCAATTTCCTTTATCAAAAACAAGTAAACTTATACCTTTTAATTGTGCATTTTAAATTCAAATGTTTTGTATGACTAAATCGAAATAAGTACATGTAACTACAGAAAAAAATAAACCTTGTCGTGCAATTCAACAGGGAGAGTCATCATTGTCATCACCAATGTCATCATCACCCCTCCCCCTCTCTCTCTCTCTCTCTCTCTCTCCCTCCCCCCCCCTCTCTCTCTCTCTCTCTCTCTCTCTCCCAAGGCGGTATAAATCACATGAAGATAAATGTTTGTCACATTTTAACAATAAGTTGATCGGCATTGATGACCAAATAATAATCACCATAGTTGTTCAAGCAATCAATGTACGAGAAATTTTGTGAAAAATAGCTTAATATTCAGGTGGCTTAGTGAAATTACCGTTACTTGCCAGATCAAAAGCACCATTTTTGGTATAGTGCTTCCTTAGGACCTACTGAACGATAGTAGGGTAGGAGCCTCGGCAAAAATATCATTTAAGGGTGTGGGCGGGGGCGTCGCCTCGTAGACCACATAAAATTCATAAGGTATTATAACATTGAGATTTGTAGTACAGTCATCCTTTTTGGTACAGGGCTTCATTAGGACCTGCTGAATCAGTGGTGGATCCAGGGAGTGGGGCCCGGGGAGCCCGAACCCCCCCCCCCCTCCCCCTTGAGGTGAAAATTTTTAAATTTTCGACACTCCACCCCCCCCCCCCCACCCCCCACTGAGCGAATTTTCGGCCGGCGCGATTTTCTAATTTTGGGGAGCAAAACAAATTTAAAAAATAGTGCTCACTACCCCACCCCCCCCCCCCCCCCCTGGATCCGCGCCTGTGCTGAATGATGGTAGGGTAGAAGCCCCCGGCATAATTATTCATATATGTGCGATTGGGGGCCCCATGGGTTTCACAAAAACCAATGTTATATTATCTTATAAAATATTTGGGGGCTACGAGGCGACGCCCCCACCCACACCCTTATATGATTTTTTGCCGGGGCTCCTTCCCTAATATAGTTCAGAAGGTCCTAAGGGAGCCCTGTACCAAAAATGCATTTGTACAGCAACAAATCAATGTTGTAAAATTATTTGGGGGCTCCAAAAAGACGCTCCCGCCCCCACACCCTTTAATCGATTTTGTTGCCGGGGGCTCTTAGCCTAATATCGTTTAGTAAGTCCTAACGAAGCCCTGTACCAAAAATTGTGCTTTTATCCAGCAAATAACGATAATCGATAAATTTGACTATATTCGGGTATAGCGGCGACTAAACAGCTTTGTAAAAACTTCTTCCTTTCATTTTGTTGTTGTCTTTTCTTGTTCTTTCTTTTCTACACTTTACAATGAATATGTCAAATAACGCTTCATATAGTAAATGAGCCTGAAGAAAGAGACTATGAGCCACTTGCGTAGTTCAATTTCTTTATTTGCGTCGATTGCAAAAGAGTCAATAGAGGGCTTTTTCCACTTTAAACAACGGTACGTAGTCTCATAATTCTGTCGCTGTAAAATTGGAAGTAAAATCCGAAGTAACTGAGACAAACCCCTATTTTTTTTCTTCAAATTTATCTTTAATTTTGTTTTGCAGATGAAAAATTTCGGGATGGGTCGCATATCATGATTGTTGAATAATAACAACACTCTCTATCATGATATTTCAAAGTGCATGTGTATTTACGTTTTTAATACCAATGGTTTAAAAAAAGGGTACTTTTCCGCTTTTTCTTGTTAGTGTAAACTTATCAATTGGCTTCATTTAAAAGAATTTTTTAACAGTTTTGTTTGTTGCATGATGCCTAATCTGCAAATTATTCATCAGGATAATCTTCCATTTAAAGAAAATATTTGTTCTTCTTGTTTTGACATTTGATCGATGGTCGTCTAATCGGACATATACAAAAGGAGCGGGGGTTCATAATTTTTATTAATAACATCAGCTAAAACGGCCTATAGGGCTTAACTGCAGAATTATCCACCATCCATGATAATGAATTAGGGTTAGGATTAGGGTCAGTGACAGGGGCTGGGTTAGAAGTAGGGTTAAGCTAGGATTGGGGTAAGGTTAAGTGTTATGACAAGGGTTAGGGGTATGACTAGGGTTAGGGCAATTTTAGGACTACGGTTGAGGTTACAATTAGTGTTGCTCTGTTCAACCCATGCAGCTCATTTTGGATTACCTAGAAATCCTTTTTTTAAGCAGGTTAAATTTAAGATTAAATAATTTGAAAATATTAATACATTGAGGATTGCCGTCTTTATCCATTTTGTTTCCCTGATTATCAAAATTAACTATTTTTCAATCAAAATGCAATTGTTGATGAAAAATTCAAAAAAATATCCATACTGCCCACCCCCCCCCCCCCCCGTAACACGCATCCAACACAAATTATCCCCCCTTCTGAATTTGATCGCCGTAAAGTCGATCGATCGACAAAATAAGGAAGTGGCGGGTAGCATTTTATTTAAAACATCAGGCAAACTGCAGAATAATCCACCATCAATAATAATGATTTTAGGGTTGAGGTTATGGTCAGGGAGAGGGTTGTTACTGGGGTGAGGTTCAGGGTTTAGAGTTAGGGTTAGGACAAGGGTTAGGACTAGGGTAAGGTTACGGGTTAGATCTAGGGTTAAGGATTATATCTAGGTTTAGGACTAGGGTTAATGTTACAATTAGTGTTACAAATTGGTTTACGTTCAACCCGTTCAGCTCGTTTCGGATGATTTATAAATTCAGTTTTTAAATAGGTTCAGCAAGGATGAATTAATTTGCAAATAGTAATCAATGAAGATTGACCGATCTTGTTTCCCCGATTATCAAAATTAACCATCTTTAATTAAATCTATCATCTTACTTAAATCTAATTGCAACTTTTAATAAAAAAAGCATACCCACCGTGACCCACCCCCCCCCCGTTAATACACATCCAAGCCCATCCAAGCTCATCCAAGACACATAAACGGACACCAATCCCCCCCCCCCCCCGAGGCCAACTAGCTATAATGACCATTATTCATAAAGACCGCTATTTATTAGGACCATTATTATAAGAACCGCTATTTATAATTTGAGAAAAGGGTAATTATTCATAAGGATAGCTAATCTTAATCGAAGAGTGTCGATATTTATCATTTGAGAAGAGAGTAGCTATTCATAAAACAGAATGAAGGTCGCTCTTTATAATGCGGAATGAATGGGGGTCGCTATTCATAAAAAAAAAATGAATAAGCAACAAAATGACAAGAGAGTTAATTGTTGGCTAGGAGCACCCCTATGGCTGTGGCGTATTTATTATGGAAAGCAACGCTTTTTTCGGATTATGAATATCGACCCTCTTCTCATATTATGAATAGCGACCCTCATTCTGCATTAATTATAAATAGTGCCCCTAAATTTATCTTATGAATAGCGGTCCTAGTGACCCCCAATATAAATTATGAAAAGCGACCCTCATCTCACATTATGAATAACGGTCCTCATGCTTTTATCAATAGTTACCGCCTTCGTGTTTTATATATGCAGTTCGACGTTATGAATAGCGAGATTACCCCACACACCCTCTGGTGTTGAAGATTGGAGGCCTAACCAAATATTGAAAGGGGAAAAGACGGGGGAAAGGGAAAAATCAGAAAATCAGGAAGATAAGAAGTGGAAGAGAAAGTAAAAAGGAGATGATACGACACCCTACGGGCCCCGTCCGACGCCCTGCAACTCACTCCTACACCCCAAACTCTCACTTTTGCTATGCTACATCATCGCATGCCCTCATTACAACATACAGAGCCACAAACTGACTTATACACACAATCGCTTCCCTCTGTCGTCTTACTTCCATCATTATTCTTCTTCTCCATGTCTTCACAGTTCATCTTTCCATTCTTCTCCACCCCTCCCTCTCTCTCTCTCTCTCTATCTCTCTCTCATGCATTTCTTCCTTCTTTTTTT